GGTTACCCAAAGCCTGACCCACAAGTCAGCGGGACGGTGTGGGAAAACCGCAATCCATTGCGTGTCGGTGACCAGCGAGAAGTTTAGATGCAATTTAGAACATAATAATTCCTCTATGGTTTCCACAGGAGGATCGGTCACCTTTCTTGTCATTCGGTATGATCACCGATTCACACCATTCAGTTGGAACCTCTTCCTTCTCCTACACTCCGGCAGCCTCCTCCATCTCTCTGCATTTTCCTATCCACCACTTGTCGCGGTCATTCCTCAGACTCTTGATAATCTGGTGTTTGAGGGATTTGCGCGCTGTCGTATTTGACTTCAGGAGAAAGGGTTCTCGTCTGGCAAGGCCTCCGAATCGATGATATCCATCGTTTGTGTTTTTAGCCTGCACGAGGATCTGACGTTGCTTTTATTTATATACGCACAGCTTCCTTGATTTACTCCCAGTGTTCATTGAGTCCTTCGGCTGGAGGTTGAACTGACATGCGATCGGAGAGTTCCGCTTCGAGTGCTGATTTGCAATAATCGCTGACGTTGTATCTTGGGTAACCGTTGTCGGTGGCTTTTTTACCGGGCGAAAGGAGAATTTGGGTCGCGGCAAAGCGTGGTCTGTATCCACAGGTGTTAACCAGTAAGGGCGACAGTCTTGAATCGATCCCCTCCAGCGGTAACTGATGGCTATGTGGTCGATTTGGGCCCAGTGCTGTGAAGAGTTTGGCGGTTTCCATGTAAGGCGTTGTCGTTTCTTGTGCGAAAAGTTGGTGCTTGGCAGGAACGATCTGTAGTCCGCACATAGTTGAAGTAGGCGATCGCCGTTGCCCGTCCGGTTGGCTGGGATTGTATGTGGTTCACCAGGAAGCCTCTCTGATTCGTCCAGGATTCCTACTTGGGCACTGAAGTCTCCTCTGATTGAATGCTTTGAAGTAACCGAGGAAGGTCCTTGTAGAACTCGTCCTTGTTTTCAGGTGTATTGCAATCGGTTGGTGCATACACCGATACAACGAATAGGCATCGACGCTTCGTTCTGTAGCTGTTGACCCGCGCTGAACCGTTGAGAAATACGGCACACACTCGGTTACTGACTGGAGTCCAGTCAAGGAGCGAGCGTTCAGCCTTGGTACTTGGAGCAATCCCGACAACAGTAACACCGCGAGCTTCGGATGCCGAATCACCTGACACGCGAAGGGTGAATCCTGAGGTTGAGGTTGGATCAGGGGAACGCAGGGAGGTAATGGAAGTGGGGTCTTGTATGCGTGTTTCGGAGACGCAACATACATTTACATTTCAAGTGCTCTAGCTATGCAGCTTATTGACCAATCTGGTAGTGTGTGGATATTGAGTGCGGCTAAACGAAAAGGAGATTTGGGTTTCGAAAATCTGATAGCCTCAGAGTGGTTGACCTCATTGGTTGATCGCTGATTGATATTCAATGGGTGGTACAAACAGGATGCATCTCTTAAGGTTTGGCAATGAGAAGAAGACGTTGCATCTTCAACCCTGGGACATCTGAGTGCAACCAGTGGGACAACAGGGTTGTTTCAGACATGCTACAAGTTTGGTTTATTTGCCGCCACCGACAAGCCTTGTGGAGTAGATGGAACGGGAAAAGAGGCCGTGAATTACTAGTGGTGGCTCAGAATTCACCACGTTATAGTACTGTGGTCTGACTGTTGTGATACTGTATAGATAGAATGCCTTCCAAGCAAACAAAATGAACACCTTTGTGTACTTCCACTTGTTCTCCGTGGTCGGTTATTCATTGGGCCTGAGAATCCAGCACACTTAATCATTTGGTGGCGTTTCCCCCATTTACGATTTGAATACGTACTAGGTAGCATACAGCTCTGACAACAAATTAATTTCTGATCCTCGCGGACTTAAAATCGTGCCACAGAATGCTACCTGTAATCAGAGATACGAGCTCTAACTGCAATTCGGTGGCTTGCTGATTACACATACTCTTTTGATGTTTGGTTTTATTTTGGCTATTTTTCAGCCTGTCGCTCAAGGAGTAAAGGGCAAAAAAAACAAACAAATCATTTCGTCTAACCTTTCTGGAATTATGAAGGAAAGCCTTTTGGATGACAATCTTATAAGTATTTCGCTCATCCACTATTGAATTCATCCGTACTGCGGTTTTGTATTCAATTCGGTAAACACAAATTGTTTTTAGTGGATAAAACAACTGATCAAATGGGCCGTGTTCAGTGTTGTACGGCAGCATTCTCGCTCATGACACTAGACTAAAGTGAACAAACTAGTGACTCAAACAGTCTAATTTGCTAACAGTCTACATTCAGTGTTCGGTTAGAGGCTATCTAGAGTTCGGAAAAATCAGATGAGCCAAACATTACTGCTGTAGATAATCAGGTTAAAGGCACCCTCTTGCGTGTGTACACGTTCGTGCTTTTAATTTACCTCGATTGGCTCCTTGGAGAGAATGAACCTACTTTCTGAATATCATCAAGTTTCATAGGGGTTTGGTATAAGAGAATTTTTCGGTGTCATCTAGCTTCATCTTCGAGAGTGTAAATCCTGCCTCTACACAACGAGTTGTGGACGACACTCATCAGTGTGTTGCTGCATGTCTGCTGGTGACTCGACGAGGTCGTTCGATATCCGACAGTTTTGCATAAAAACCAGGAATCGAGACATCCCAGTTAGTTTAATAGATTGCTTTTCAGCCAGTGTATCAGGTGGCGGCTCTCGCCTGCTATGCCCCGCTTCGCGGATGTTTTTAAGCCTTGGTTGTCCTCAATCTGGTTAAGCCTGTCTGCAAAGCATTGATATGCTCTAATTCCTGGTTGATGTAGCTAACGGTACTGATGAAAATGATTTTCATCATAATCCATAGTAGGTAACAATGTCCCTGAGCTCCCGATGCCGACTATTGGTAAGTTTGTATTTGTATAACCTGTGCAAGCATATATGCTTACATTTCAGTTTAAAATGTACACTGTTCGTCACGCAGAGTGAAATAATAATATTAAAAATGAAAGGTAAAGAATGTCGGTGATATATGTTTCATGTACAAAACTTCTGACGTAGTTCATTTGAGACCTGTTCCTTTTTGGTAAGTAGTCGGGCCAAGTAGAGTACGGGGGAATTTTTAAAAATGGTAATGCGAGAGGGTAGCTGTCGAAATGAGGAGCGTGTGGACGGATGGGAACGACTAGACGATAGATCAGGGTGTAGTGGATGAAGAGGATCATCTAAAATCTTTTGAGCAAATTTAAAACAAGAGTTGATGTGACCATCAATGAGTTCCGTGATTATTAAATCGATTGGGATTAATGATGCACGACTGATTACCACCAAACCACGGTTAATTGTTTTGAAGTTTTGTTTTAAAAGACCAGGAAACACTACAGGGGAGCAATAAAGTAGAATGTGTAAAACGCATTGATGAACAAAAGATGACAGGACTGACTGTGGGGTTCGGAATTGCCTGAGTTTGCGTAACTGAAAAGATGGGCGTCTCAGTTTTCCCATACAGTTGTAGATACGTGTAGACCAACGAAGGTTACTGTGGATTGTGACACCCAAGTACTTGACTGAGGTCATTCTGGATACAGGTTTACCGTTAAGAGTAGCAGAGTCCGTTGTTAATGAGGAGCGGGAAAGACTGAAAATGCACTTTACGCACTTAGATTTTTTAAGACTGAGACCAGATCGGTCAGAAAACTGTTGAAAATGGGATAGATTTTTCGTGAAAGAATGAAATTTCGAAGGAGATTAAACTATCCGAGACAAAACAACGTCATCAGCATACTTTTGGATGTGCGCAGGGGGTGGAGAACGGTCAATTGGCCAGTGAAGAACTTTT